TGATTTCTGGCATATCTCTATTCATGTATCCATAGAATATTTCATAAGCCTAATTCATTAGGTTTTCTTTTGTCATCATTGCTGCAATTGCATACGGTATTCCAGCCCCCCCCCCCAAAGTTTTATTTTTGGAGTTCATTCTGTAATGACACGTTATTTAGCTACTGTGTTGAGCTTCTTTACTACAGTAAATGATGCATTAAGTGGCAGTATTCTCATATAAAAACTTTTAGTTTTAATATTATGTCTAATTAATGGTTGTCATTTAAAAACTTCCATTCCTGAGTATTGACAATTAGTTGTATCTATTGAGCATAACTTTAGTAATTCTGTGAAATAGTCACGGAGACCACATGCAAATAAGAGAGATTCTTGATGTGAAAATTTCCCCATTTTTGTCAGAAGCATATGTCAGTTATCAGGTATGCCAATGAGACTAATGATTGTTTGGCATCCAAGAAATTCGGCATTTCTGAGCTGGTGCCCAGCAATGGAAGAAAGACAAAAATTAATGGGTGGAAGCTTTACCAGAAAGGCATAAGTGGACCTGAATAGGCAAATAGGTGTTGGTGGGGAGAAAATGTGATTGTGCCCGAGAATAGTACATACAATTTTTGTGTGGACGAGTAAAGAAAGTTATGTTTACTGTTGACTTGGTGAAGAGAGTTTCAGTAACATAAAGAATAATACAGAAATTCCCCAGTGGGCTCATTAAGAAATGTATTCTAGAAGCTGAAATGAGGTAGGTCTTACTGTTAGGGCCCCCATACACACACACATTTTGGCCTCCAGTTCAGCGGGAAACCCGTCAGTCTGTCAGTTCTACCTGCAGGACCGTAGCACATGATGTGTGTGACTCAACATTATAGGCTGGAAGACCGTGATTGTGGCATGAAGCCTGCCGCTTTATCTGCGCGTGTATAGGGAAGGAAAGGGAGGGGGTAAACTGTGAAAGTTTTGCCTGTAAGGTCGATCGGAAGGCCAAACTGTGTGTGTATGGGGGGCCTTACTGTAACTGAAATAATGAACTTGTGTTCACTGAGATTCACTGCTAAGTAAGCAAAAACCTTAAACTGAGGAACATTTATATGTGGTTCTGTTGTATAGATTGCTTACATTTGGTGCCTTCGAGGTTCATGAGCTTACACACACATCAGTTTTGTGAGCTTCCAAGTATGTTTCAATATTATGGTACCCCCCGCCCCCCAAAACAGACAACCTTTGTATCATGCTGTATCTGATTTTTCTTTACCAGTGGAATCCAAAAGAAAATCATTATGGTCGTGAAGATATACTTTCCTTGGATCATTTTTTGAGCCCTGAAATTACTGAGGAGACTGAAGAAAGTAGAGGAAAAAAAGAGTTTATTTTTTCGTAAGTATGAATTTTGCTTTGAATTATGGTTTTACATGGTATTCTATGGACCTTCCATGACTGACCATCTTATACACTTTTGTTCAGCTAGAAACAGTTGGACCTTGCTAGTTCTAACCTTATTCATATTCATATTGGTTCCAGAAATACACATTTTGCAATACAGCCTCCAGATATAGAAAAAGTCAAATTATTTGTATAAAAGTCAACAATACTATAATATTTAACTACATACACAGATTGTGTACATGTCCAACATACCATATAAAACTATATTAAAAATTTAAGACAACATAAATTCCCCATCAGAGTAACCAATTCAATCCTTTTCACATCAGTCAGTCAATCAATCAACCAATCCATTCTTCCTTCCTCGTCAAATCACTGTCATAGGAAAACGTTCCATACACATTAAACATACAATAGTTCAATTTCTATAATTAAAAGTAAATACCCCCCTTTCACAAATCTTTAATTTAACATACATTCCTCTACAGAATAAAACGTATGTTGTACCAAATATGACCTCATTACTTTTTTAAACTGTCTCATTTTTTTCTGTCTCCCTAATTTTATTTGGTATTTTATTGTATAATTTTATTCCCATGTTCAGTACTCCTTTCTTATAGGCATTTGTGGACTCGTGACCCACACAATCCGAACCTCACATCACTGTCATTGAAACATGAACCAATATATAATCTATATGTAAAGTGTTTATGTATTGTCATGCTAAAGACTTAACTCACAGAGAGCTAAGTTTATTTTTATGAATCAAAGGAAAGAAGTCTGGGAGAACTGATATGGGGTTGCTGTTGCTGAGATGCACTTCTGGTTCTCAGATACCAAAGTTAAACTTGGTATCACACATGCAGTTCACTCACTCGTCCATTATTCAGTTGTGAGTCTTATATGTAGGCCCTATGTAATACAGAATTTAAGAATGGTGGAGTTATACCTCTACTCCCTCATACATTTTGATGGCATTTTGCTTCATTAATTAAGCCCAGGTATATGGCCACACCATAGCGGTTAGTCGCTGGCTTCCCACTGCGGCGGCCCGGGTTCGATCCCGGGTCTGGTCAAGTGGGATTTGTGGTGGACAAAGTGGTGCTGGGGCAGGTTTTCCCCGAGTACTTCGGTTTCCCCTGCCAATCTTCATTCCACCAATTGCTCCACAATCACCCTCACTTATCATCTGTGGCTGGTACAATAGGCCAGAAGTGGCCGCAGTGCAAGGGACCCCACTAGCAATAAAAAAAAAAGCCCAGGTATAACTTTAACTTTACGTCACATGGTACTCTATCCCAGAAGATAATATGGTGTGATACAGGTTAAGATATGACTTGGAAGTGGAGTCAGTATATGCAAGGAGCACACACTGATGTTCATACAATCTGAAAACATCGGGGAGTTTGTTCATTCTTCAGCTGCAGACAGAAGGAAAACATAAACCCTTTCAGGAGCTCAGGTTTTGTATGAGAGTCTATATAACATGGTCAGGTGTTGAGACATGTATCTCTAATAACTTGGATATTCCTTCACATATATATATTAAACAATTCTTAAGATCTGAGAGGTTTGTTTTCACTGTTTCAAACCTAAAACGAATAATATGTATGAGATAGATCTCTCGCATTAGGATTAAAAGGGCAGTAAAAGTTAAGAGAGTTGTGACCTGTATAAGAAATTACAGGATCATATAGAGCGGGGCCTATTTTAATGCATTGTGCTGGCATTTACCCAGAAACACCAAGGGAAATAACAAAGGAACTGCCAAGTAATTTGCAGGCCAGTTAAGCAGGTGAATTTGAACAGGGTCAGAAACTTTATATTCTTGTTCTTTGTTTTTCTTCCCCCTTTGAGAACATATTGTCACGTGTTGGGTGTATAACGCAACAAATAACTTCACACCTTATTGGATATAGCGAATTTATTAAACATTCACTTCCTACAGTCACACAATTTACAAGCTCAATATTACTGCCATCGGCAGTATCACAGATACTGGACTGCAATTAACTGGTGACTGACTCTCTGGCTAACTCGTAACTCTCCACTGGCTAGATCCCAACTCAACTCAACTCGTACTGTTGCCTTGAGAACTGTCTTTGGCGGCTGATACGCTTTAGACTGTCTCCGGGGATGGCTACACTTTAACTCAGCGACCGCTACACATTAACTGTCTCCGTAGGCTGTGTAGTTCCCTTATAAACCCTCAGCCAGACAACGGGAAATGCCTCGCTTCCTTGTTGCCTAGTCACCGTGTTTGCCGATAGCCTAGCAACGCTGTTGGGAGTTGGTTACAGCTACATAGCAACTGCGGCGTCCTGTGTTACGTAATGGGTACTGCTGTTTACTTGCTTTGCCTAGCAACCGGTATTTACTCACTTTGCTTAGCAACCGGTGTTTGCTCGCTTTGCATAGCGACCAGCGTGCTTGGACTCTGCTCACTTTGGCTCCACTCGGCACGTCACGGCTGACAGGGAGGGAGGGGCGTCATCCATAGCACAACACGTCACAATATGTTACTTTTAAGTTCATGATTGCCAGATTGAGTATGCTGCATAGGCTGGCTACATGGTCCTTTTTTTATGTCATTGTGTCCACCTTTTGTGAGAAATTATTTATGTATATAAGATAGCCTGATGTGTAGAATGCAGGTAATTTATGTGTCCGGACCATTAAAAATCTGAAAAAGCGCAAGGGTCAAGTTAAATATTGTGTTATGGCCATATTTATTATTAAACAAGTTGAATATATTTCTTATTTTATTTCACTGAATTTTTATTTAATACTATTGTGTTTTTGCTTCAGATATTTCTTTGAATTCATACGAAATGAAGGACCGCAGAAGATTAAAGAAGTTGAACTGAAGTGGCAGAATGAAGTTGGTAAATTTGAAGGAGTGTATGATTGCATGAGCTCACACACTAGTAAGTCAGAATATTTTTAAAGATGCTATAACAGGTGTTATTCACACATACTTCTACTAAGACCCACATGGTGTAAACATTTTGTGAACTAATTATATATGTAAGATTTGAGGTTAATTTATATAATTCATAAGTTACAAATTTGGAGTGGTCTGTTTGATGGAAAGTTCTTCCTATACAGTCAACTCTCGATTATCCGGGATAATGGTGGGGATGGAAATCACGATTAATCGAAAACCCGGTGAAGACAAATTTTATTAAAAGTAGTACTGTAATACTGTACCTTCATAATACTATAGGCCTGCCTGTATTTAAATTTATTCAACCTCATTTTTGTGTCATCTCATGGCCTATTTAATACTTTTTTTTACATTACAATGAAGTAGGAATTAGTTATTTCAATCAGAGTCTTCAACAACATCCAACACTTTTTACAAATATTAACACTTAAAAAAAATTTAATATTGTTGTTTACTTTTTCATGGCATTTTCCTTTTTCTGTTGAATACTTAACACAACATGCTTCCTTTTACACCCTGACATTTTGCTAACGCACTTGAAGATCGATACAAAGATACTAACTGGGGCGATGTATCTGTCCTTGAAACTTTCCACAAATCCTTGCATACTTTCACCCCTACCCTAGAACATTGTGTTAGCATAACGGGACCAAAGAATGCAGAGCTCTGTTCACACTAGTGCGAAAATAGTGTTACAACTAGCCATGTTAAACAAAAGTGAATGAATATTAAACAACGTATAAGCCTCAAAAAAGCCTCAGTAGCCTCGGTTAAGCCGCAGACCGGTTAATCCGCCCCCGGATAATCGAGAGTTGACTGTACTTTCATTCCATCTTGTGTTCTGATGAAATCTTCCTACCCACATACAATCCAACGTCAAAATGGATATAGTAATGTTTGTAGTAGACATGTTCAAGATTACTTTTTCAGTTTGAGGCAAGAATTTGGAAAAATTTTGAGAAAGAGAATTTTCTCCAGTACAGCAATTAAAAAATATGTCTGCACAGAAGAGGTAATTTTTAATTGATTTCATATTCTTACTGCAAACATGTCATTTAAGTTTCCTTCTTTGAAATCACTAATCTATTCAGTTTCAGCAGCCTCGCTATGTTCACTATTTCTGTTGTCTCATGTTCATTCCTAGCCGTTCCTTGTTCTTCCTCTCGTCTGTTTCATCATATATACAGCACTCGCTTCTAGGGAGATCCATTGCCATGATACTGAACCTGTGGTACAGCATGTCTGAACTGGTCTTTATTATCTTGGCTTGTGCCTCAACATTGTCCTCTTCCAAGAGACATTTGGAATGCAGTTGTTTCAGATGATTCATCAACTCTTGTACGTATGGTGTTCTATGAGATTGACCATAAGGTCAGTATACAGTGCATGAATGAAAACTGTTATGTCCGGTATAAAATGGCTCCTCCAGTGCATCTAACACTAGCGTTCCTCATTTTCTCAACAATACTGGTGGTCCCCTTCTCCAGACAACTTGTAGCCAGTTTTCCATTAGTTAATTTAGTCACTAACTCTTGATTTGACACCTGATCGCTAGTCCCATAGGCAGCTTCATGTTAGGCATAGCTTTTGAGTTGAGTATCACATATGGTGATAGTCTCATGCTGTCTGCCAACTCTTGTCAGTATTGCAGTCACTCAAATATTTTCAGTACTTGATGACTTTCTGATGAGGTTTTTTTCACCAATGTCATCTGTGGAGTAATTGGATGGCATAATGAAATACAGTGATGTTTCGTGGCACTACCTCGAAGTGTGATGGCGGCTTTTTGTGAAATGAAGTTCTTCATTGTAAAGAAAACATGTTCATCGACATCCTTTGTAGTTAGGGATATTTTACAAGGCTGACATGCCAGTCTGTCTTTGAATGTATAAATGATATTTGCATAGTTTTTTAAGAGTTCCTGATTTTTATGTTCTTTCCACCATCATACTCGTATGTGTGCATTGGGACAGATACTTTGTATTCTTGCTGCAGGTTAAATCACAATATTCTTAAATCATAACTGCTGCACCCAAAACTGTTCGACACTCTTTTGACTTTTTATTCCCTTTTGTGCTAGTACCTCTTTTCTTGATGTGATCTTCCATTTTTATAGTGATGGACACTTTGTGTTAGCACTGAATCATGTGAGATTGTACATCTGAATTACTGCTTTTATTTCTTCTGTGACACTTGAGGAACCTCATGACAGGTCATGGCTTCTGACCTTCTACTTTAATTTCTGTTTGCATAGTCAGTTACAGTATAATCACTGTCAGCAGGACTGAAAGCTCATTATGTTTAGTTTTCCATCAGCTGAATTCACTCACAAGCCACCCTGGGGTGTGCCCAGGCAATTGTATCGTAAATCACTGGTCTATGAAGTTAATGTAGCCAGATAATATTCTATTCTATTCTATTGTCTCTTTCATGCCCAGTCTCTCAGCTTGACCACCTCTGTGGTCTAGTGGTCAGAGTTCCTGGCTATAGATCCAAAGGTCCGGGTTCAATTCCCGGCGCTACCAGATTTTCTGAGAAATAGTGGGTCTGGAACAGGGTCCACTCAGCCTCGTGAGGATAATTGAGGAGCTATTTCAAGGAAATTGTGGCTCTGGTCTAGAAAACCGATATTAATGGCCATGGGGATCCGTTGCACTGACCATGCCACACCCTCTATCTGCTAAAGGTGGTACTAACTTCACCAACAAGCAGCAGTCACATGGTCAGTATAGTTCGCTTGCAGACTATAGGCCACAGAGTCTCTCAGCTATGCCAGGAATGCAGTAATCCAGAGGAAGTGCAGGTATGCTATAGCTAAAAAGAGTAAGGTGAGGGCAAGCTGCAACCTTTTAATGAACCACTATAGAAGATCTTCGTCTTCCATTATGGGGTTTCTATTATGTGTCAGTACTCTATAGCTATGAAGTTCTTAACAAGAGTTGAAAATAGGAAATTTATTGTTTACTATACCAGGGAGAAGAAATTAGCAGAAATAGACTTCTGTAGTTGATTAGATGAGATAGCTGGACTTAGGTGTAAAGCTAAGTGGCTTGTGTAGAGTTTCATTGTTAGTTATTGAGGTTTACAAAAAATGGTGAAATCCCCATTTGTTATGTAAGATTTGAGGTTTTCACAGCGGTGACTCTGAAGAAAGCTGTCTTCTAGGATGGGGCACTGTGTAGATATTGTATTAACCGACTTTTCGGAGGAATGTATCGCCTCCATCTTCAGGGTAGAAGAAAAGAGAAGAAAATCTGCAAGCGAAGAACCAGCATGAGCAGGTACTAACAGACTTCTTTTTTCTTTTACCTTGAAGATGGAGGCGATACATTCCTCCGAAACATCGGTTAACACAATATCTACATGGCGCCACATCCCAGAAGACTGCTTTCTCCCAATTTGTTGTTTGTTTTGGAGATATGCTGTCTTTTTCACAGCAGTAGTCAGCGTTGTTTGCAGTCCCGCCAAATGAAGTCTGGTATGTGAAGACATGTCTGTATATGCGGCAAACACTATCATCACAGTAGATGAAACTCATAGGGATGTTCATGAGAATACATTTAATTTTTATCCTTTCACTTCCCTGCTGATGTAGGGAAGTACTTCTAATGCCCCTGATTTTAATAGTTATAGTAAGTTAGGGAGAATCTTATTTCTGTATAGTTTCCTTCGTATTGAATTATTTTAATTGCTGTTACAATAATCCCATTTACAGTGTGGAGGATTCATGTTAAATTGTTCATTCGTTTGTTTTTAGGTATCTGCAATTTTTTGCTTCAGTCGTACCGATTTGCTACTATTGATGACTACATGTGCCTTGCGGAACAGCTGGCTGATACTTATAATACGGCAAAGACAGAACTTGTTGAGAGCTTGTCCTTCACTTTGAGTGGATTTATAAATCGTACAGACCCAGTAACTGACATGTCACTGATCGACAATAATATTAAAATGGGAATCGAGTACCCAATGTATGAAAATCCCAATGTGGTTCCTGAATTTGAGTCATTATTAAAAAGTAATATACATACACATATTTCTGACAGTAAAACAGCTGTTGAGTCCATGCTAGGACCATTTGCTGATAAACCGTCAGGAAGTACAAGCAACAGTGAAACATTAATTCCTCATGCTGGAGTGGATGTTCTATCAGAAGATCCAGATATCAGTACTGCAGAAGATAATGTTATGAGAACTAACGAGAGACGTTTCATTTCTGTATCTGAAGGTATTTCATGTGAGGAGGAAAATATGTATTCATTTTCAAGTGATATCAGCTCTTATGATTCTGACGAGATTGACAGCCGTTGTCATCAACTTGATGATGATGGAGTAGAGCAGCAGAAAAATCTTGACACCCAAAAGGAGAAGACATGGAAGAACGAGGAGAAAGATAATGGAATGGTGAACGTGGAGGAAGAGACCAAAGGTTTAAAAAATAGTTTAAATATTTATGCTAGTGCATTTGAACCTTCAGCAAAAGTAGTACCACAAGAAGAGCAGAAGGACTCTTATCATAGAGAAGATGCTGAAACAAAAACAGCTGCTAGACTTGTTTCTGCTCCAGCTGAAGAGATTCAGTTGAATGCTGCAACCTCAGAGTATAATGCCTTCAGTAAGTCATATGCACAGTACTGGCTTCTTTATGTTAATGTTTATTTTTGCTTTTGTATTATGTTTTTACTCTATTGTTTGGATATTTATATCATTTTTACTTGTTATTTACTTCTGAAATCATATAGTTATTTATTTTCTTTATTTGATATATCCTTATATGCAGTGGCTTGTAATGTGAATGATCTTTTTTAAACTGAGTCCCATTCTTGTGCTCATTGAGTGCTTGAAGTATAGAACTAGTGGTCAGTCTCTGTCGGTCGGTTACAGAGTTACAGATTTTTCCTTGACCCATTCATTGTCATAATATGTTGCAGAACAGCTGTCTGCACCGTGTTTGTGTAAATAAAGGGACCACACATCTGTATTGGTTTAACAGATTTGCTTACAAAAGCATAGAAACAATTTAAAAAATGTGGCATATACACCCTGCTTTTGTCTTGGAATTTAAATATGTGACTACCAAATTTTGTTGCTCTTGTAGGCTTATGGTAGCATAGAGCTATTCTTAAAGCAGAAACACCAGTAAATACACGTTGAAATCGGTTTTCCACTTCTTCCCAATGGAAGTCCGTTGTCGATTGCCGCGTATACAAATTTGAAAATGTATTCATAGAGTTTCACTTTATTTAATCATCTTGGAAAGATGAGACTTTCAGAAAGAAGTGTTTTGGATGAAAATATGTTTTTCGTTTTTCTCTACAAAATCAGAATTTGCAAAGAATGTATTTGGAAATATCTGATTTTGAGTTCACTTCCCTATTCCTTATTTCAGTGCCTTAGATATCAAAACACATTTTTTCTTTCTGTACTTACATTTTTTCCATTGCATTCAGCACATTCAAAACCTGGGTGGTGGCGCCTGGAGGAAGGTCAGACTGAAGGCTCAGGTCTGTACCAGATGCTTGCATACTCACAAAGAACAGCTGTTCCTCCGGTTACAGCAGACCAGTTTCAAGTACCTCACTTAAAAACATCTACTTCACCTGCGCTTCCTTTGCATCAGTTCCCTGTAAGTAAAGACTTATCAGGTAACTTGAACCTTGTGGAGGTGGGTAGTGTTGCCAATGATCTGGAGGTTCATGTGGCCTCCGTCTTCAGGGTGAGGGTAAGTAGGGTGAGTCAGTATTAACATACCTGTAGGTTTGGGTCTAACAAACCCGTGAGGAGGAAGGGTGGGAGCTGTAACCCAGTGTAGCCAACTTAAAAGCCACTGAGTGCATAATAAAAATGTTAAATTTTTTAAAAGGCAATAAAATGATGTGTATTCAGTTTCCTATCCTTTGCTAGACATGGCATATATCATTTGTTAGGTACTGATTTCTCACTCAGTTGACCTAATCCTTCCAGCCGCACTAGGCCCTCGGGTTTACTCAGCCTTTAACAGAAATGAGTACCTGGAATTAATTAAATAATTTTCCTGGGGAGTATAGCACGGCCGGCGCGTAAGGCTGACAACCTTACTGTCAGCTTTGAGCCGATGGTCTAGATAATGTGGGAACCTCAACGTCTCACAACCCTATGGGCCTTCATGGCCTAGTTACAAGGATAGATTTTTTTTTCTCACATCAGATTCCCAGGTTCTTCTATGTAAGAGCGGTTCAACTGTGATTTGTGATGCACAAAGAGGGCTGCCATTATCATGTATTTCTTTGAGTGCTTAGGTTTTCCTGTGCCAAAAAATCCTATTAATGCTCATGTACCACTCACTGAGTTGTGTGATAGTCCTAGTCCCCCGTTCCTTTGTCACAACCTCAGTCTTCAACTGGGGATTCACATTTGACCTGGCAGTTCACTTAGTTTGGAGAATTTGAGTTAATTGTATTTTTAGCCTAACCTTTCTTAATTGAGAAAACAAAACTGTTTGGAGAATTTGAGTTAATTGTATTTTTAGCCTAACCTTTCTTAATTGAGAAAACAAAACTAGGCTTATAAGATGTTGCTGTGTTGTGTCTTCTGTGTCTGTAACAACTTTTGAATGCCAGAACCACTCTTTACGAAATCTGGATTGTATATCATGCCACTTGAGGCCATCTCGGAGGCATACTTCATAAATCCCTCTCACCAGTAATACCAGCACTGCAGCCTCTCAGATTGTGTTGCTTTATTGACTTCATTATCCATATGTACGAAAGTTCAAGAACTTCCCAGCATTTTGTGGAACCAGAAGGTTCATTACCTTGTTCACAAGAGCCCTCCACTGGTCCCTATCCTGAGCCAGATTGATCCAGTCCATATTACCCCATACAATCTATTTTAATATTATCCACCCACCTACATCTCCATCTTCCTAGTGGTCTATTTCCTTCTGGCTTTCCCACCAATATCCTATATGCATTCCTCTTCTCCCCCTTTTGTGCTACATCCCCTGCCCACCTCATCCTCCATGTCATGGATCATTCTAATTATACTAGGAGAAGAGTACAGGTTATGAAGCTCTTGCGGAGATATGTTGTTTGAAAGCATTATGGCACCCTGCTAGTGTTCCATATTGTAGCATGTATAGCCGTTACTATGCAACAACTGCAAGATAAGCAAATATACCAGAGCCGTTTCTAGGCAGCAGGTCAGTAAACATTTTCCTATGGCAATGGATACACGTACAACACTCGAGATACTGTTGGAAATGGTGTTTTCTACTTGGTCCATGCAATGGGGTTGTAAGGAGGGCAGTTGAAGCAAGAATAGTTCAGTTGGAAGGTAACCGCCATTCAGAGAGGATTTGAGCACAGAAGCAGAGGAGTAATCATTGTTAAAAGCCCTTACCAGGAAACATACGGTGAAGAAACTGCAGGCTGGCAAAGACTTAGCATGTGCTGGAGTGATTTGTGAAGTATGGAAATCAATGATAGTTTTGTAGTTATTTGTAGTTATGACCCGTAAGTGGCCAATGAATCCAATTTTCCAAAAATTCATCTGTAGTCACACATACTACATGATAATATAATTGGGCTTCATTGCATATACCATGTGGTTGCTCCTGTTTGCACCTTACACTAGATTTCTTTGTGTAATATTGCAGAAATCAAGTGACGGTAATACCCTGACAGATGAAATCCGAAATTTTGAGGAGAAAATAAAAGTTTTAGAAAGTACAGTGAAGACACTGGAAATGGAGTTGAAAAATGAGAAGAATGAAAATGAAATACATAAAAAGACTTCAGAATTAAAAGTGGAAGAATTGGAGAAAAAAATCAAGGTGAGATTATAGATTTCTCTTTGTAGCATTGAAGATTGTGGTTTTTATGCAGTCTTTGTTCTCACCACTTACGGTTAGTGCATAATGGAACAGATTCATACATTTATTTCCTTTATTTTCCATATGTCCATACAGGTAACAAACCTAGGATGTGGAAATAGTCCCTTTGAAAATAGATATATCAAGATAAATATACAACTTTAAATGAGTCACATAATTAAAATCACTTACATTAATCAATTAACATAAATAGTAATACAAAGTAAACAATTTAATAAGGTTTTAATTAATAAACAATTTAAAAATAACTGACTATAAAACTTGAATTAATACAATTTTATTTAAATTACCTATATTAATTGAATTAGATACATTACAAATTTACACACTTATGACCAGTTATATTGATAATATTCATTCATGGAATAAAAAGAATGACGATATAAAAGCCCCTTCATAGCGGATTTAAAACTTCTCACATCAGTAGCCAACATTTTTATTGTTTGAGGAAGATGATTAAAAACTTTAATGCCTGCTGTGTGCACACCTTTATTGTATTTTGCTAGGTTAACTGCAGGTAAATATAAATTATTGAGGGCTCTAGTTTTGTATTTGTGAATCTCATTGTTAAAATTAAATAAATGTTTATTATTAATTATGTATAAAACTAATGAATATATGTACTGAGAGTAGAATGTCATTATTTCCAAATTCTTAAAAATGTCCCTACAAGACTCTTGAATTCATTATAATTCTAATAAATTTTAAATGGTTATTGGAAAGTTGACATTTAAACTTAATTTCCACCCCCATTTTTCATCTTTAACCATCTGCTATACATGGAATTCTTTAAAAAAATATCTTGTACAAAAGTTGGTGCATGGTAAGATAATTTTGTTGTTGCTTTCACATGTATGTGTGTCAGACTCAAGTATGCAAAACATTTTGTCGTGTCATTTCTGTGTAAGGCTAGTGTACTCGTAATATATCTGTAGTTGGTTAGCTTTGTTAACAGGAGATATGTATCTGCAATATGTAAATCCAAAACTATATATGCAGGCACAACATTTGAAGGAGTGTATATGAAAAGGTCCAAACAGTCATACCATGACCTGTTACTTCACAAATTACAAATTTCCATTGTACAGTACTACTGAATTAGCACGCATTACACTTACACACTGAATTCTTGGACTTCATGACTCAGATTTTCAATGTTATTAATAGTAAAATATTTAATACTACATTATTTGATGTCCCTCATTTGATTTTATAACAAAAAATAGAATGATAGCGTAGTAAGGGTTCCTATATTCAAAAGTGGGTCTGAGCTGTGAGCTCCAGCAACACGGTCCTGTATATCACATGTTATGATGAACTAAACTTAACGATGTTTGAAGTTATGACCAATTTTTGAGACAACATTAAGTTTTATGTCTGAGGTATGACTACACCTTTGTTCTGTAGTACAATTTTCTTTTTCACATCTCATGGACAGGTCTGATAATTTGATAATGTTTCTTTTTACTGAGTAAAAATTATCATCATTCGTGAGGTTGTTAAGTAATAAATTGCATTTTTTTTCTCCTCCAGGAATTAGAGTTAGAGAGAACTGAGGTCGTGGAGGGAAAGGATGAAGATATCAGAAGCCTGAAGGAGAAATTAAGCAAGAAAGAAGAAGAATGCGAAGCAGAAAAGTCCAAATGTGAAGAAGTAAAAAGTGAAAAAGAAATATCAGAAAACAGGGCAAAGGAAATCATGAGAAACCTGATGTGAGTGGTCATACTGTACATCATTTCATACTTCACAGTCCCCCCCCCCAAAAAAAAAGAACTTTGTCTTCAGAATCTAAATTGTGCAGTTTATGCAGAATGTATTAAATGGTCTTCTATAGAAAATAATGTTTAGAAGACTTATCTGTGAGCCGATTGTCTAGAAAATGTGGCAGGGATTAAAGGGATAGCTGTATCTTTTTGTGAGTATCTGTTACAAAGAGAATTTATAGGAATTTTTTAAATTGTTATAGTATGAAGTTCTATTGTACATTGATTCACTTATAAGAAAACACCTTTTCATTCAGATGCTAAACTAGGAATGAATACTTTGCCTTATATTCTGTTAAATGTGATATGTGGCCCGTGATTGGTAAACTGCTTTCCCTTGCCCCCTTTTCAGAAAAGATATGTGTGCTTGACACATCACAGGCTAACAGCCACACATATCCTGTGTGATTGTCAGGCCTTACCTTATTTAAAATTACGTCACTTGGGTCAGTACTTTATGGAACCAAGTGACTATTTCGATGGCCCCACGTACAACATCCTACGCTTTATTCGAAGCACAGGATTGCTGAGGGGATAATCAAAAGGGGTAGCACAATAGATCATTGTAGGTCGCGGTGCAAGGGCCAAGAAGGCCAACCCCTTATACATTCATTCATTCACATCATGGAGTAGAAAGGAATCTCATCATTAAAGTATATCTTTAGCTTAAAATGGGGATATAGAAAAAAATGCTGTCTTTAGAATTTTAGAATTCATTAAAAATAATTTGGCAATATAACATGTGATTGATATTGACTATAAATGATATGAACTCCGTCCCAAATGCAAACAATATATTATATGTCCTTGATCTTTCTCTCGTCTACACTACATGTTTCGGCCTCAAATGGCCATCATCAGGTGTATACCTCACGTTGCTCTTACACTGCACTTAGTTTAAAATTTAACATTTAAAACCACATTGTTCCTTTCGTTGTTATTATCAACATCACTTCGTTGATATCTGTTTGGTTTATAGATTATTTTTGTTACACATGTTAATTTTGATTTCCCTGAATTAGCACTATATAATCTTTAGTTCCAACTTTAAAATCCTCCAAAATTTTTCTCTGAATTTTAAAATTTAAAATTTTCAGGGTCACTCGCCCTATGTCTATAGTGCTGCAGCGGCTAGTTCTTGTATCCAGCACTGTACAGGTGTTATTCTGTCTTGTCTCCCTGTGTATGTGCCGCTGCTATTCTTTACTACGTGTGATATGATATTGAGTAGTTTAAGACAAATGAAGTGTTCTTGATTTGTGATTGGTCTCAGAGTACAATTTTCCATCTTATTTTGCAGAAGTGAAACAGGACAGAAAGTGAAAGAGCTAGAAGAGGAATTGGAAGTAAGAAAACGTGATATGAAGCAGTATCAGCATCTCGTTCTGAAAGCAAAGAAAGAGACAGGAGAGGTTCAAATAAAATTGTAAGTAAAGCATGGGGTATACATCTTGTGTCTTTAACAAGAATCATCCTGTGTAATCATACAAGATTAATCTTAGAGAGATTCATATTTTGAAAATTTGATTCTTGATATAAGAATTTTGAAGTAACAGTTTTTGTATTCAGTCTTTCTCTTTGATTAGACATGTGACATCCAAGGTAATTGAAAGCACAGTAACTTGTCATTTTATGGAAAGGACGCATTTGTTCTGAGATATGTTAGCTTTATGAAGATTAATTTCCCATTAATTTAGAGATAATAATTATAGATATCGTGACATGAGATAATACAGTCTTGTATAAATAATCGTAAAAGGAAGGTAAGGTTAAGTTTCTTCCTTCTGTAACTGCCATACCATGCAGGCATATAGGGGGAGTGGAGGTAAAGCTCCATACATTCTACATTTTGGTTCTGGGTGTAGGTGAGACTTTTACTGCTTTACCTCCAAGGAAAGAGCCTCTATACAATTCTTTATCGGAGTCCATTACGACAGACTCCAATGAAGAATTGTATATAATAACACAACAGGATGCATGAAATGAAAATTATAAAGAGCCTCTGTTACCCTTTGTCTTGGAGAATGGGTGGGGCATCTTGATTTGCTTGTGTGGCAAAAAGTAGTCCCTCCATCTACCAGGAATTGAGCCTCAGTTGTCCAATTCAGCTTTGCTAGCTCGGCTGTCTTGGTTTATAAATAAGAGCAAAGGGAACTAAATACATACATCAGACTTTAGGTTGATAGATTCTGATTTTAGGCCTTAGAATCATATTTTACCATCATTGGTGGAGAGCACATCACTGTTGCTGGGCACAGGTGGTGGCAGGTGCTAAAAGAACTGTTGAGAAGCATCGCAGGGCAAGACTGGATTCACTTTATGTTTCTTGCAACCAGTAATGTGAGGGAAGTATCAAATGCGGTTTACACAAGAAATATCTTCTGTTGTAAAATTGCTGTTCACTGCCTTGAATAGATCACTCCCTGTACATCTCCCTGAAAGAGGTAGACAGAACATGAAATATCCTGAATGATTTCTTCGAAACAGCACCTGACAGATACGGGGGGTTGAGCTGATCCTGCAGCATCTGTTGATTCATCAAGTTGAAGAGCAAATTTTGGTGTGCATTTAACCCTGGTCCACAGTTGTTCTGTGATGCTTCTGACAGTGATGTGGTGTCTCACATTACTGTACTCGTAGAGAAATTGTTTTAAAAGCTTCGCCACACTTTTGCACATTTTCATGGGCACTGGAAGCAATGATATATCTCCAGTGGTAAGAGGCTCTGTAATTTTCGATATTAAGTACGAGACCTCAAAAGAAGTTGAAGGAGCCAGTCAGAGTGCACTCAGTAAATATGTAATACACACATTCTTATGTTTGTGTCTTCATATTATGTTTTTATTGACTGTAGATGGGGTGTGGATTGATAATTAGATATACTGAACACTTATACACGCAACTTATAACTGCCATTAATTAAAGTGCTATATTACCTGTTCACACACACACACACACACACACACTGCAGTTCACTACAGCACACGCTAAGCCTTTTCAGCCTGCTGTGTCTTCACCAGTCATTGCTCAGTAATGGCTTCCAGTGTCAGACATTCCGATGACTTGGTTCCTGAACTATCCCCTGTGCCTCAGCTACCCGCTTATATAACAGTGACAACTCACAACATCTGAACTATAGTTCTGTGAATAACTCGCTAACTCACCAACCAACTCATTCAGGGCCACGCCATAGCTCAAACAGTTAGACGCTGGCTTTCCACCACGGCGGCCTGGGTTCGCTCCCAGGTCTGGTCAAGTGGGATTTGTGGTGGACAAAGTGGCGATGGGGCAGGTTTTCTCAGAGTAGTTAGGTTTCCCCTGCAAATCTTCATTCCACCAATTGCTCCACAATCACCCTCACCTATCATCTGGGGCTGGTACAGTAGGCCAGAAGTGGCTGCAGTATAAGGGACTTAGTCCCACCCCACTAGCATTAAAAAAAAAAACAACTCATTCCACTGCACTCTGCTCCCCATATAGCCCTGGCATGAACCACACAGAAAACACAGCTTTTTTATTGTGTGCATGTATGTTGCAACCAGTGCCTAGCAACAGCCGCTATTTACAGAGTCACCACTTAGCAGCAGGCGTACGTGCTACAATATAAGTGGATATCACTGGAAAAATTGGCCAATACATTGCATTGAGTGCACAGTATAGAAACACAATACAGGGTGACAGCTGCTTGGTAGGGTTGGTTGTGAGACTAAAACCTAACATATTTTCGTTTCAGTAAAAGTCTAATGCATAAAACCTAAAAACGAACTCAGTTTTTGATGTGTGTTAGCACAAAATTTCATTGGTAGAACTTTTTCAGAAAAAAAGGAGCTAATGTAGTGTTCTATTTTACATTCATAACTACATTTTTCCTGTATATATCCCTGTTGAATATTGTGCAGTTCTGTTGTTTAAGTTTTGCTCTAGTATATAAGGTAATTTTTTTATAAAACTTATTGACTTCAGATTCTTTGTTTTGTTTGTAGCTTGAAGCAGAAATGCTTTGATGTATTGGAAGCCATGAGGTGCAGGGTGAAATATCTCACAGATTCTGGTATCCCAACTAAGACTGACATTGCAGTAGCTATAAAGAATTGGGAACAATATCTTCTTGCCATTACGGAACATGAAATTCAGTTCAGAGTATGTGTTTAATTTGTTTGTTACTCTTCTGTTGCTTGTGCTGTGTGTCACTCCAGAAGTGTATTATACAAAACAGAATTAGCTTGAAGTTAGAATGTGTTTTGTAATGCTTAATTTGAAAAGACAAGATCATCTGAATTCTGAGATCGTCGAATGACATTTCTACGATTGTGGGTCATCCTTTGACTCAGCTCTTTCTAGTGTTCCCTTTTGTATCTACATCCACTCTCTTCCAGTTCTCTTTTGTATATATTTTTATACTTGGTGTTTCCATCTGGTGCATGATCTAGCTAGTTATTGTTTGACATCAGTATTCTTTAAGGTTGTAAAAAATCCTGTTTTTTCTATATGCAACTCATGCCCTTACCACCGTAGTCAACTTTCCTTGTAGTGTTCTACTTTCAGGTCTTGTTTAATGTCCTGGTT